TACTAATTATTTTATATTTCTATCTTCTGTAAAACATTTGTAGCATAAACCATGAAAACCAATTGCTTGAAAAATTTTCCGATAGTAAAAAAGAAATAGCGATAACAAATCTGTTACTAGCACCATATGTTCAGCACAAAATGCACCAATCACATCTTTGCAAGCAGTAAGAATCATTAATATAAAACAGAAGTCCTAGTAACGTTCTACGACCAGTCATGGAAGAACCAGTAATCTTTTTCCAACAAATAATATAGAAAATCTCCTCAACTGACCAATTTAATAAAATATAAGTGCAAATTACTCGAAATGCCTCATGACACAACCTCATAAGTCAATAAATCTACAAATTTATATATTGTTTCTTGTCTTCACTCTCACGGAGAATTAAGCAGAGAAAACAAGAATAATGACGAATGAATTATGACATCTTGCAGTACACAAACTTAACTATACACCTAACTAGTCTTCCCTTCTCTTCATACCAATGATGATATGAAATAGTTGGACCCAACAATGACAGTCTTCAGTTTGATGGAAAATAACACAGATAATGAGCATGACATTAATCATACCAGGAATAACTTGTTTTCATATTTCATTTCTTCCTTTATCCAGCCTCCATGTATGCATAATAAATTGCTGAATTTATCAAAACTTTCAATAACAATATTTCATGGATTTATAATCGAACAACAACAAAGAAGAAAACATATTTATCAGAATTTGTCAAATGACTTTTTGGCACCTGAAGCCTTTAATACTTTCAGAACATTATAACGCACGGTTTTTGATAGCGGTCGACATTCACCAACTGTGACAATATCTCCCACAGCTATATCTCTGAAAGAAAATAAGTTCCATAACGAATCATCAACTAATATTTGCAAATTCTTAGTTAATCGAATACTGAACTTTCCAATCAAGATTGCGTACACAAACAAGCATAACACTAGTTTTAAACACACAACCTATATACACAAAGATAATGAATACTGAATTTCCTAATCTTCCCACACTAAGCGTCACTGATGAAACTGATAAATCGTATAAGCTCTGAAAGAAAACAGAAAAGCTATATTATCAAGAAAGCACTAACCTAAATGCAGGAGAGCAATGCACAGACATATTGCGATGACGTTTCTCGTAACGACGATATTTTTTAATAAAGTGTAAATAATCTCTTCGAATTACTATGGTTCTCTGCATTTTCATCTTCACAACAACACCTGTCAATATGCGACCACGAATTGAAACATTTCCAGTAAACGGACATTTTTTGTCAATGTACGTACCCATTATGGCCTGCAATTTATTATTTCAATAACAATATTTCATAAATGAAAATTGAAAATGAACAAGTTCATAAACACACTCATAAATATGAAATCGCTAGTCTAAAAAACCACTGTAACAATCAACATCCATCACTGGACAGTATAAAAGATGCATATGACAAATTAACGTTAGTTATTTCAGAGCACAGAAAAATTTAATAAATATGTACCTCACGTGGCGTTTTGAACCCTAGTCCAACATTCCGTACATAGCGAACACCTTTTTTGCTCTTTTTTACAATTCCAAGAGCCCGTAATTTATTATTTAGAAATACGGTAGGTTGCTTTTGAAAAGCTCTCTCTGTTTGTTCTGCCATTATAAACTTAGTTTACCTAAAACAAATTATCCTCAATCTATTAGAAATTAAACGATCAAATAAACGACATCTGCACAAACTTGTTTTCTAAAAGAAATCAAGTCACGCACTTCTAACTCCTAAAACCTCATTAATTTTGCTAAAAAAAGAGAACGAAATGGAAAAAACACTAGATTCGCTATGTTTTAAACTAATTATTTAATCCTTATCACAACATTATAAACCACTGATGAAAGAAAAAGTCTTTTTGATTCATTACAATGAAAGTATTAAATTCCAACATTTCGTAGCGGAGAAATAATAAAACACATTATCATAACCAGAGATTCAATTATAAGCATCTCTGCATTTCATATCTTATCCTTCCATTCTGTTATTTTGCCAAAAATGCTAAAATGAAGAAAGTTCGAGTTTTTTCCACAAAAAATCAACCTGAGATCAATTATGGCTATCAATTACCAGTATTTCCGAAAATTCATAACAATATCCAGAAAGAGTGAACAAATGCAATACACCAGAGTGAAAACAAGCAAATTTACCCCTCTTCTCGAGAAAGACTATATGTCTAACACGCCTAAAACAAATTATGGCCCGTTAAAAGACAACTAAACAATTGTACGGTTGTGGCCCCGTTAAATCCTGCTTACCTCTGGATTTAAACTTACTGAACAACTTTTAGTAGGATTCCTTATTAACCGAGAATGCAATCATTTTATTGGAGTTGAGATTTCACATTGAAAGTAGTCTTGAAGAAGCTATGTTCAAATTAAAAAGTCACGCAAGTCTTTATGACACTCAAGGCTATAGAAGTCACAACTTTCAAATGGATATTTGTCACAAAGTAAATGCATTCTAAATATGAAGTAAATGCGTAAAAGTAACGTTTTCTTCTTCTAGCACATCATCGTAAATAGGACTGTTCTTTATTTGCAACTCGAAAGCGCATCCTCTTATGGCCAATAAAAAGTGCGAATGCAAAAATACCTTAAAAAGTTCTCAAGAATAAAGTTTCTTGACGTTTTTTAAAATGCAATAATTCAGTTAGACCACAGGCAAAATTTGAGAAGAAAGAGTTCAGGAAGTAGCTTACCCATGCAAAGAAGTACAAAAGTGAAGGAAACAAGAGGTATAAGTAAAGCCAAGAATTGCGACGGAAATGCCAACCTTATAAAACTGTCTTGAGGTACGAAAGGCTGAAAATACGTTACTCAACTTCTACTACAATTTTAAATTACCAGCTAAGCACTATAAATAGCAATGTTGAATCGAATTAGTGATTCTCGACAATAAGTAGTATTTTATAAATAGTTCACGCAACAAAATGCAATACTTATGCAAGACAATATAGAAAAACTTCCAGGTGCAAAAAAAATACGTTGTTGTCTCAATATTAATCCTAACATATAAACAATTTTAAGGACTTACTAGCACATAAATCCAAACCAGAAGATATGGAAAAATAACAGCTAGAAGTGCCAACAATGAATAGCCAATGAACAAATCTGCAACGGGCATAAACGCTTCACCTTTCCTGAGAAAAATACTCTTTTATCCTTATACGGAATTGGTTCTCCACTATTTAATGCAATTTTCAATCTTTAAAGGCACAGAGTCAGAACCTCACGTAGTTAGAAGCATTGACATTTAACCAATTTTTTTAATATCACATCATTTCATCCACTAATTCTTGTAAATCTTTTTGGTTAAAAGTGCTGAGGAAAGCAAAAAAGCAACATGCTTCGATAACGAAATTTAAATAATATACATATATTTTGCTATTTGAAAAAGACTCTGGAATATATTGACAGACTTCAACATTAAGAGGTTATCAGAACAGATTCAGTGCAAATATGAATATGATATAGTTCGCGATTTTTCCATTTAATTGCATAACTACTCAGAGAATTACAGCTTTTTAATAGTGGTTTCTTTAATAACTTTAATTTGCGCTATATATTAAAAACCTCAAAAAACAGCTGGATAAATTAGGAAAAAAAGGCCTGGAAATTACCAAACACTTGTTCAAAATATACAATCACATTTTCTAGATAAACTACTTGTGAAAAATATTTAAATAGCTATTTACTATACACAAAAAGACTTATTTATTTTAATTCATTCAATAAAAAAGAAAGGATGCTTATGTAGTGCATCACATCACATCTAATTTCTCCCAAATAATTAGCAAATCTCGGTGACACCATGCTATCGGATGGGAAGAAATGCATCAATGAAGTATCGCAACATGTTAATCTAAATATCAAGTACTTTAAAACTACGATTATTGAAAAAACACTGAGAAAATAAATTAGATAAACTTAACAAGGAAATTGACAGTCTTCAAATAAAAAATTTAAATTATCAATATAATCGCTAAATATCAAAGAAACAGCATTAACATTAGAGAGAACACAGACAAGGCATGCTATTTAGAAAATAGAACATGGACTTACAACCGGAAAATGATGGCAACTGCAAGGTCACACTCTTGTTTCTCCAGCACAATATTTGTTGCTGTGAGACGAAATGTAGAAATAACTCCTAATGCTCGCTGAGCACAATTATTTACATCTAACTTTTGTTCTAACAATCGCCAGCTACAAATAAAATACATTTAGCTTATCAAGTTTAGTTTTACTAGATTTAATACTCTTTCCTTAATAAATGTCCTTCAAATATTTTCCATGTTAATTTCGAAAAAAAAGTGATTAAAAAACTATAAATATTTACTATTGACTTGCCTGGGTTTCAAAAATTCATTGAGTACTGAAATTCGTTGCTTTGCCTGGTCAATACTGTCAACCGGTGGTAAAAACACATCTTTTAGTTCTTCATTTCCTAGAATGTAATGATCACCAGCATAAAATTGAGCAGTGACTAAGTCGGCTTCCGTGATTAAGTCCACCATTCTCGATTTGTGAAATCGTAAATAGGAAATAGTTTCTGCGCCATACCATTCCCTTTAAAATTAAAAACAAAATTGTATTAGTAAATTAGATACTTAAAAATGTCAAAAAATACGATTCACAGCAAGAAAATAAAATTTGCTGCGAAATAATTGCATACTTTATTATTTTTTCGAAATTTTTAAGCGCATCCTTCTTAAATGTTGCATTCTGTAATTTCATCGGTTTCGCTTCTATAATTATTGGAGACCGTTTGACTTCTTTATTATATTTGGCTTTTATTCGTTTTAATTTTTCACTATCGCTCAATTGTGTATTCTGGTTTTTCATCTAAATTACAAAAACTAATGAAATTATTACCAAATTGGAAACTAACTCACAAAGTGAAATATTTATATTTTATCTGAATTCATCGGAACTGAAGTTTTTCATTTAAACTTAATAATTTACAGTTATTTTTAACGTACAGCATCCAAATCACATTCGGAAACAGCTTCATTCTTCAACTTTTGACCAACAGATCCATTTGCTGTTTCGCTGCCAGCATGCGGGTCTGTTATCAATAGAAAGGGATGAAGTTCATTGCCATCATTTAACCCTTCTTCATCTTTTTCAATACAACCATCGTCGTCAGAATCAGCAGTATCGCCAATCTAGAGAATGAAGTCGAATTTTTCTGGCCAATATCTATTATTAAACGCAACTATAGTCAAGAGAAAAATGATGGCAAAAGCTGAAACTTATGTTGTTTTAGAATACAGTTTTTTGGATGAAGAATAACGATAAAAATGCTAATAACTACAAATAAACTGCAAACGAAAACTGATGACTTACTACAACATAGAACTTTTGATATCAAACATATCTCAACCCCCACTTTTAAAGCTTCAAGAGAAGTTATCAAATTTTGCTCCTCAACAAATTTGACGTCACAAACGTTTTCTGGTTTTTGCACCGCGTTTGTGGCCCAGAAATCGAATAATTTTTCTGCAAAATAAAACTTGTTGAAAGTATGCGACCTCTGATATTTTTCTATAATGTGCTGTGTAACGGTTTGTATAAATGCAGCAAAAAGAGTTACTAATAACTAAGACTAATAACTAAATTTATATCAATCAAATATCGGTGACTCAAGTGAAAAACAGGATGAAAAACTGAATGAGCTTAAATAAACTTAAATTAAAAAGTGACAAAACAGGAGATAATTATTAGAAGTACTTAGGGAAAAAGGTAGAACACAGTTTTGTATTTGTAGCACAGAAGTATAAACTACCGACATACAATAATTTGGAAAATTACTCTGCGAATTGCCACGTATCCATAATGGCTCTACTTCTAGCTGTGCCTTCACTGCAGCACTACGTAAAAAACAATCTCGAGAGCAGAATTTGTCCACGTCAGCGGAGCGCTCGAAAATCTGCAATTAGATTGAATCTATAAATTCGAAGTTAATACTTGCAAAATTTATATTATTGATCACGCCTTTAAAAATTACTAGGTTTTTTGTTTTGTAAAAAATTCCGTATCCCTTCTTCCAATCCAAAGCTCAAGTTTTTGTATTTATTTTTCCTTCCATGATTCCATGAATTATCATACAAAAGTATGTTCCCCATAACCAACATCGTTAGTTAATATATTTTAACTTCAAAACCTATTTGTGATACCTATGCTGTGCATGCCATGTTATTTATTACTGAAGTATTACTAAATACAATTACTGCCCATGTTATCCAATAAATAAGGTGCTTTACATCTAACTGGTAAGATAGATTTAGAAAGTATTCATTCACATTTTACGAAGCAGTAAAACTAGTACAGCTTAGTAAATGGCAAAAATTAGTGAATAAAACTAATCCAGGAAATTACTACTATACCGGCCTGATTAAGCATTGAGTTACCTTTTTACTCCTGAGATCAATTCGATACTTTTGAGACTTTTTCATTTTGACAGCATTGTTACAGAGAGGAAAGCCACATATTCTACCCAGATATCGTTCCTCAACTAATTCCATCCAACTGCTCTGGTCCAAATTATTTATCTGTTAAAAAAACGTTTTATTTACTATGTACTTTTTCATAAATATCAAAAAAAGGTCAAACACGGAATGTGATGGGAGATTAACCTAAATGAGCAAATTTAAAATTACTTCCTTAACATTAGAACAAAATAACTAAAATACAAAATTAATTATTACACACCGATTTTTGTAGCATGTCTTCATCGACATTTTCTGTTAAACTAACGATGGTATTGTAAACTTCTCTGCGTAATTGTTGTTCTCTGATTAATAGTTCTGCTTTGTCTTCGCTAATTCCTTTCTTCATCAATGATTTCAGTTAAGATGCTCAGTTCCGTATTCTGAAACCCAATACAGCTACATGACTAAAACACGACGCAATGAAACCTAAATTACTCTTTTTTAATTAGAACATTTGAAAAACTTACTTTCTACTAGACAACTGCAACATGTTTTCATTGCGAGACAATCATTTCGATACCATTGACTCAATCATATGTGTGACTTTAAGTGACACAAGATCTGATCTGAATGAAATGTCATTTAGGTCAGGTTTTATTTGTGAAGTGTAAAATAATTTGAGATCAGTTTGAAGTATTTGTGTTCTTGCAACATTTTCAGGGCTATGAGATCTGTTAAACATGGAAGAAAAAGAGCTCGCCGATGCATTAAATACAGCAGAAATGCAGCACAAGCAAAAAAGAAAGCAATTAAAAGGAAAAAAGCCATGGGAGGCTTAAAATGGTAAGATATAGCTTTACTTAGATTAACAGTAACAAACTTACAAACACAAGCTAATTTTATGGCAAGTGAAACTTTGCTCTTCTTAGTTTTCAAAGCAAAATCTTATTTTAGTCACTCAAATGTTGTTATTTGTATTAAAATATCTGACAATGTTCAAAATAAAAATAGAAGACAAGGATATTTTCTTACACTTTTGTGAAATTAATTACAGCACACAAATGAGTTTATCATGGGATAAGAATCTCACAATCAAGCAGAATATGAAAGCAATGGGGCTTGCTTACGATGCTAACAAAATATTTTCTTTACGCCCAAACGTTACGGTTCCTTTTTCGAGATAGGAATTCATTTCATTTACTCTTTTACTTTATTTAATTGAATAATATAATATGGGTGTTTAAGTTCTGAAAATACAGGTTTTATATTGTCTTACTGTCGTAGATTATTCAGCTTTTTTTTAGAACAATGAATGTGAGGGAATGGAAATGGACGAAGCAAAAGCTCATGGATCTGTGCATTCTCAACTAAAAAGATTGCAGAGCCATGTAAATTTTGACCTAACTTGATTGAATTTACATACGCAATACGAAAGTAAAAAGCATAGAGTTTTTTTTTTTAAATTAATGACTCTGTTTGTATTTGGGCTAAGTTTCAAAAAGTCACTTTTTTATGTACAAATTTTTGTTTTTTCAAATAATTTTATAACTGTGTAAACCATTGGTAAATAGAAGTAATAAACTTTGTCATTTATTTAACCGATAAAATGCTGTTTGTTCAGAAATTAGGTAGCAAAACAATGTCGAAAGCTACTACAGTGGTTTCTGCTTTGGAGAAAGAAGTGAAAGAAGCAAAAAAAGGGAGAAGAAAACAAATACACAAGCGTACTTTTCGTGTACCTGCTAGAGATATTCAATTTTGTGTGTATATGATGCAGAAATACGGGGATGACTATAAGGTAAGAATTATTTCTAGCATTATAGTGAGAAGTTTTTGAAGTGGTTGTTAGTTGCTAGTTTGTTTTTCAGTCTAACATTAGTTTATTTCGATTGATGTAAAAGTCGTTCAATAGTTTCAAAAATTTCACAGTTCCTTCTTTATAGAAAATGAGCTATGATGCGAGGAATATTTACCAGTACACACCAAAACAAATACAGCGCAAAATCGATATTTTCAAACAAAGTACAGAACATTCAACTTGTTAAAAGCTACGAATGCTAGTATTAGATTAAAATTTTTCCTGTATGTTAAGGCAAAATATTTTATTAAAAAAATAAAATTATCTAACGAGGTTCGTTTGTTTTTATATTCTACAGTCCAGTGGTTCTTTGTTAAATTACTCACATATTATCATTTTTTGACATTGTAAAAGTGTTTGTATATTGGAATTGTCTACATTCAATTCACATTTGTGATCAAAGTTTACTGCGTTTATTGTTTTGAATCGCTCATGTGGAATGTATGAGATAGAAATGGAGTTTGTGAAGGGATCAGGTTTAATACTCGTGTGTGCTAAATCGCAATGACTCACTGATAGTTTTTATTCATGAGCAAACATTCCACTTGATCTTTTCTTTGTGTACTAAAACCTTTCTTTCATACATTGCAAATATCTACATTTATGCTTATTCACAATAGAATTCCATGCTGTGATTTTGAAATGCTTATCCAAAACATAATACAGATAGAAAACGACAATTGTGCTAAATGTGAAATTAAGCTGTTTAGCGGACTTCAGTCAAGTTATGACTGGCCTGTCTGTATTCTTATATCGGGTCTGAAAATTATTAATTTGAATTTCTTGAAGTTCACCCAGATCTAGATCCAGTGGGTCTAAATAGTCGCATCTGGAGTCATGTGACGGTGGGTCTCGATCCACAAAATGCTCGTTGCGATGTTTCGAATGACCTGTAAGTGCATAACGTCTTGAGGTATCTGCAAGCATTTGATGTGAACTTTAGCAAGACTCATAGTTTTATTACTAGTTCGAAATCAGGAATTACTTGAGACCGTGTTAACTCAGTTCATTTTTTAGAATAATCTCAAAATTTATGCAATCAGTAACAAGTTAATTTCGCGATCATTGGTAGATCTTACTCTTGTTGATTACGTTAATGCTTAAGATAGCAAAAGCATATTTTTGCTATCTAAAAATTTAATACTATCAGTGATGCATTGCAAAATTTATTTGAAAGAAATTCGTACCAGAAACCCAACTAGATTTTTTGCTGGATGTTCGATACTGTTGTATTTCATTGCTGTTAGTTTTTTGTGACTGATTCTGAGATGGTATTACTACTGATGCAATGGGCATTCGAGAGTAACTTGCAACACTTTCATCTGAAATGCAACTTAATCAAAAAATAGAAAAGTAGGGGCTCAATCAAAAGAAAAAGTTTACAAAAATAAGCCTTTTTATCACAAACTGTTAGCTTATTTTTCATTTTGTAAGCATTATGTCTAGTATTTCTGTAAAAGAATTTAGCATTAATACTTTAATCTAGCAGAATTTTGAGTTCTCAATATTTTTAATATAAAATGCAATGTGAGTTCTTCGAAAGTTTAAATTTTATTTTTTAATGCTAGAGAAACTGAGACAATGCTTAGTCTATAATCGTATTTGTTGCGAAAAAAAAGACTCAAAACCTTCAGCATGAATTGTCAAAATTTATATTAGTATAGAATTTAAATTAAAATAGTTCAGCAAATAATTAAAAAATAATAAGTAAAAGAAGATTGTATATGATTTTATAAATTATTGAAAGTTTATTTATTAATGTTTTATTTGAATTATCAAATTTCCAATTACATATATATGTATATGTACCGAATGCATCAATTGGCTTTGCTATTTTTGGTCGAACAACAACTGAGCTTCTTGATGGACGTATACGATTTCTTATTAATTTAACAATTAGAAAAATTAATACAATTACAGTAAACAGAATAACAGTAACGGCAGCAAGCAAAATAATAATCCATACATTAATTTTCATTTAATTTATTAATAAAATAGTTGATTAATATGCAGTAAAAGTGGATAATAAAATTACAAAGTTAATTAAAACAGATTAGATAATTGATATTTCAATTTTTTTTGCAAAGTAATCATTCAATATTTTCATCGTTTTCAATTGCCAAATTAACCTTAAAACAGTTCAATGATACTTGCAAGTACATGCAATAATAATAATAATAATAAATTTGTGACAAATTAGTTATCAAAAAAAATGACTGACAACATTTGAAAAATTAGTTAACGAGTGTTAATAATCGTAATTTACAAAATAAATAGTAATAATAAAAAGGTTAAAATTCAAGTTAAAAATGACGCAAAGTAAATAGCATTAGCAGCCATAAAAGGAAGAAAAAATCATTAATAAAGAAAAATGGCTTTATTATAATATTTTAACACTTTTTTGCTGTATTTTATGTGTGCTAGCTATCAAAATAAAATAAGTGATCATCAAAACTCGAATTATACTGATTTCAGTTCAGTTTTGCTAGTTTATTATTAACAATAAAAACATTCAGTAATTCATTTTAAAAAAATTAAGTAATTCGTTTAAAAATTCAGAAAAAAATTTAGTAATTTGTGAAAAAAAATTTTAATAATTCGTAAAAAAAATTGAAAATTAGTCATCACAGTGCATGTCTTTAAATTGGAACAAGTTTAAGAGCAAAAAAAATAAAAATTTTTTTGAAGGTCTATGCAAAATACAGAATGTATGTATTATGACTCAACTCAGCTTAATTTATAGAAAGTAGTGAAATACCAAAAAAGCAAAATTTTCGAATTCAAAATTTACAATTTAATTGCTTCACAAGTCAATAGTAATTTCAGATTACCATTCAATTTGAATTTGAAAAATTTATACTACTGAATTAATTTTCAAAAAAAAAAATAATTGAAAATTTAGTATAGTATGCTAAATGCATGCTATATCAAATAAGTATTACGGTAAATAAATGTTACAAAACAGCATTGAAATATGCATAAATTTGCATATCATTCCACTACACTCAATGTATTGACATGGATTAATTTGTGCTTAAATAAAACTAAAATTAATTTTCAAATTGGAACTACAACTAAAATCGCGTTTTAAATAAAAATTGCGAAAATAAACATTTTTCGTAATGCAGAAATAGCTTGAAATTGAACAAAATCTAAATTTATATAAAATGAAAAATAAGCAAAAAATCATTAATGTTATTTGAATTTCAAATATTAATTAGAAGCAATTTAAATGAGTTATAAGTTACTGCACAAAATTTATAGAATTAACCATTTGTGAATAATGCAAAAAGTTCAGCAAATAAATGCATTATGAGTTAAGAGTTTTACGTGTTTACATGTACACGTGAATAAATACTCGTGATGATAATTTGCTTTAATATACTAAACAAACAAGAAAATAGTTGATTGATAAGAACGAACAATCATTTTGACAAATACATTGCAGTATTATTATTATTATTAATTATTATTATTATTAAAATTATTAGTGTTATCGATTGGTTCCTTTAAAAATTTTAACAAAAAATTTAACACAGAATCAATCAATTGATAATCATATAAACTTTGTAATTAAACGAATAAAAATTAAAAGTAATATAACCAAAGACAGGCATAATTTAATAAGTACAAATAAAATTAGCCAACTTGGAAAAACAACGATTCTTTTTCGTCTCAAAATAATACACACTAAATATTCTAGAAGTCAACTTCATGAAATTAAAGGCAAAAAAACATCTCTTTCTATTGAATAAATAGTTATTCTGTATTCCTCTTCAATGAGCAATGACTGTATTCTGTACAGAAAAATATGATAACGCTAAAATGACTCACTTACTTATCTTAAAAATTTATCACTTTTCTTTTTATCAATTTATTCATCTAAAATCTTTGACTATTATTATTATTATTATTACGATTTCAAATATGATTTGTTTCTCCAAAACTGTTAGCTTATTATTATTTGTTATTATTACTGTTTTTATCATTTATTATTACTATTATTTATTTACTATTATTATTATTATTATTATTATTATTTCGAATTTTGTTATCTTTCTGATAGTGATAATGATAATCACAGTTCATGATGATCGATAATGATAAAAGAAATTTGCAAAAATTATTATTACCTGTGAAATAAGTAGTATAATAGTCAGCGTTAATATATTTACTCTCACTACACAATTTTAATTAATCATTCAATTTCAACTGCAAATATGGTCATTGTTAATCAAGTAACTCGTTATTAAAGAAAAAATTAATTATAGGGATTTTTGAGCTGTATAAAAAAATTTCCTCATTAAATTTTAAAAAATGAATATTTTTCATACTAAGAATTATTATCATTATTTGAATACAAATAATTAGCATTTCGAATTTTTTTTAATATTTTTCAACATGTGTCATAAAGCAAATATTTCAAAAATTTGAACAATTTATTTGAAAATAAATTTTTGTACAAAAATTTGAAACAAATGTTGCCTAATCTAGTTTGCTAGATTTAAGCACTAGTTTATTTGTTTAATACTTATTTCCTTCATTGAAAAGTATATTTGAAAATGAGTGACTAATTTTGTGCTTTTAACAAATAATATTAATAATATTTTGCACAAATTCATATCAATCATTATTATCTTTTCAATAAAAAGATTAAATCAATTTATTTTTTCTAAATTGAAACAAAAATAAAGTATAAAAAATTTTAAAAAAAAAGCTAAAATAGTCAAAATTCAAATTTTTTAAAAAAATATTTTTAAATAAATCAATGTTTAAGAATTGAAAAATGATTTAAATAGAGCACAAAATGTACTGGTAGATTGGAGGTATGCCTGAGCAGAAGAAAGAAATAAACGATGAACACACTGAAATGCAAATAAATAAATAAATATGCAAATTGTATTAATGCCTCAAATGCAGTTTTTATCTTCAATTTTTATATCCCTCACTAACATTTGATTCATTTTCATTTTCACTGATGTAATGTGTGCGAATATAAAATTTTGAATCTAAAATAAATAATATTAAATTTTGAATATAAAATAAATAATATAAAATAGTATTTGTTCTTAAGAGTTAATATGAATTATAATTAACTATATCTAATTTGATAAATAAATTTAATTATAAAACTTATTTCGATGATAAATTAATGCGCTTAGTATACATATTTGATTATGAATGAAGTTTCAGCTGGAGAAAGTGGGAAAAATATTGAAATTAAATTAAAATTGCAGACGAAAAAGTATAAAAATATCGAAATTACATTAAAATCGTTAATTAATGAACAAATAAACTAATTAAATATGATAAGGCGAATAAAATATGAAATGTAAAAAGAAATTTATGATTAATTTTTATTCATTTCAAGTTCGTTTATTTTGAACAGCTTAGTATTAAATGTTATTAATTATGCAAATTATGCTACAACTAACTTTAAATTTACAAAGAATTTTAACTGCAATAAATTTATTACTTAATAGATAACATCATGCTGAGGAAGAATTGCTTTTACTGTGTCTAATTAACTTAATTAAAAATAACTTAATTTAACTTGATTTTTTTAGTAGTTATCGAATATGAATAACTGAATTTACTTGAAAGTAACATAATGATATAAGATAAACCTGGAAAAACTGGATTTATCTTCTATAGTCATTTTTCATTAAACATGAAAATTGAAAATGAATTCTTAGCAAAGTTACCAATCAATACATTTTATACCTAAAAGAAAAGTGGAAATACGCAACTTAACAGGAATACTTTACTTGCGTAAAATTATTACGTGAGTTCTTTTTACGTCCTTCTGTTAATTTTTATTGAATCTTTAAGTGATATATAATTTAGATATGAAATTAATACGTGTACACGCATAGGTACACGTGCAAATAGACATATGTAAAAGTATAAATGCAAGGAAATACAGAAAGTACATAGATGCATGCACCACACATGTACAAGTGACTGATGAACACGCATACGTCCTTACAATTACGAGCTTTCACACATAGACAGAGCGTACAAGAATAGAGACAGCAGTAGGCGTGAGGTCATACGTACGCATATAAGTAAGCATTCATTCATACACACATACATAAACCTCAAGTATGTACAAAACGAATGACTGAAACAATATTATTTGAACACAGATTGAATCGCATATCTATTCAAATACAAAAAATTGCACACGCACATTACAACACGTTTTACTGGAATTTTTCTTGTTTTGGAGTAAAACTTCTGTTTTCTCAAATTTGCAGTCCAGTAATGTTGGCAATCACAAATTCCTCACTTCTGCTTCTCATCCGGATTTAACTTTATTCAAAAAAGTCAACAATCAAAATACAGTACATATGAAACCATTGCATATTTGCATCCCTTAATTCACTGCAAAAATTTATAATTGATCACTAATTCATAGACACAATATGAATTCTGTGTATATGAATTATCATAGACATACTTCCTCTGAAAAATAGACTGACTTAGCTTAAATTATCAAGACAGCATTATTAAACATCCAGAACTGAAAAAATGAATTAAATTGTCAAACAGTAATATCATCTATAAATTACACGTATGTACACTCAAAACTTACTGAACACAAATTATTATTATTATTTATTTTCAAGGCAAAAAGTCAAAAACCAGTAAAACTCATTAACTTCCACTAAGCTAAAATCAATCTTACAGAATACGTCTACAAACAAAAATTTCCTGAAACTATCCCTTCTACATTACTGATTTTCCATGATCACATTTGACAAGTTGCTAATTAAAATATAATTTTTGTCTTATTTTACTTTCAATATTCGAATTTCCTTCATAGTCCTCTATCCAATCGTATAGAAAAACGTTATCTTTACACATTGAAAAATCATATTTTATTTTTGAAATATTTTGAATAAATTGTGCAAATTATTTTTGTACAATTCATGAAACTCGTTTTAACTCGCTAATCACTGAAGTTGCCATAAA